TCTTCCTACTATATATATATATATATATATATATATATATATGTGTGTGTGTGTGTGTGTGTGTGCGTGTGTGTCTGCCTGTCTGTATGTGTTTCGCTTTTTTTCCCCCTTCTTCTTTGCCGCGCAACTTTGCTCTTCAACGTTCCCTTTTACGCACTCCGCGTTTCCTCTCTTTTTTCTGTCGCTTTTGCTGTGTCCATGTGTGTGTGTGTGTGTGTGCGTCTCTCGAGAGTAGCTGCAAGGATACCGGTACAATCGCGGGGAGGAAGCCATGAGGTCGTGTGGGGCCGCAGTGTTGATCTACACTCTTCTCGCCACGCTCACCGCGGCGGGCGACCTCGTCGGGGCTGCGCCTGCGCCCACCACAAGTGCCCGAGAGTCCCGGCAGATGCACAAGCTTTGGGTCGCGATTTACCTGAACGCCACGGCGTACTCCGCGGCCGCATCGATCCCACAGTCTTTTCTGGTGGCATTTGAAAAGGACTTGCGTGAGCGCCTCCTCCGCCACATGCCGTTGCTGCGTGGTGCCGCCTCCGCAAACCACTCTTCCACTGGCTCCGTGTCTTGCGCTGCTCCCTGTTTCCCTTCCCGGGGTGCGGCGGCGGTGGATGCCCCCCGGGGACGTGGGGCCGCCTGCTCCCACTATCCCCCTGCACTTTTTTGCAAGTGGGAGGTTGAAGCGGCGGCGCCCACTCCGGCGGAACTCTATCTAGCGTGCCGGAGGCGCGTCCAGGGGCTGTACATGGCGGCGGACGCCACGGAGACCGCGGGCGCCAGCGGCAATAGGGACGTTTTTGGGCGCTCCTCAGAGGCGTATTGCAACCTGACCGGCGACCGGCGTCCTCTGGTGGCGGTGGGTGGCGACTGCTATCGCGGCGCCCTCTTCGCTGCTCCGACAGGCAGCAAGTGCGGCCGGGTGACGTGCGCGGAGGTGGCCATGATTCTGCTGGCGACTGCCCTCGCACTGGTCGTGGTCGCCGCTGCGGTGTATCTTTGCCGCCGCTCATTTTTTGGCCGCCTCCTCGCCACCAACCCCGACAGCGCTGAGGCGGCCTCGTCCTCGCATCTGGCCGTCCGCCTGGCGGACCACAAGGAGCGCGGCGGTGACGCGGCCCCTGAGCCGTGGAGCCGGCCCGCGGAGGCCCGCACTCCCTCCCCTCCACACTTTCACGCTTCTTTAGGGAACTCTAAGCCTCCGCCGTCCCAGTCACTGAGCCCAAAGGCCGCGCGTTTTCCAAAGACGGAGGAGCGCACGACCAATGTGTCGTCAAGTAGTGGGCGAACGCCCGGCTACTCGGAGCACAGGCAAGTCCTAACGCCGGGCTCCACGCACTCAAAGCGCCACCGTTCAACGCCGCGGGAGTATGAACCACCGCCGGTGAATGGTGTTGAGGTGGCCATGCACGCTGGAAGCAGAGTGGAAGATTCGAGCGTTTTGCACTTAGAAAAAGCCTCTCCCGTCGCCCGCGAGGTTGACATATCGAATGAGGAGCGGGATCAGCTGCGGCTCCAGCGTTCATGGCTCAGGGAACACGTGATAGGCCTTGATGCACTGTAAGCAACAACAGCGAGTATGCCTATGCTTTTTTGTTTATTGTTTCCAGAAGGCCCAAAGTCGAGTGCGCGGTAACAGCAACAAATACGGATATGCAGACGTATCTATATATCCCATGTCGGCGTCCATCCACTTTTTCCCGCGCATTTACAGTATTCTCACGAACCTTGACGTTGAAATGTTATGGCGGCACAAGATTTTCCTCTCCTCCTTTTTCTTGTTGTTGTTGTTTTTTGTTGTTGTTGTTCGCTTTGACTCTCGTGTCATTGGAGAGGGAAGAGGAGATGTCTGCTTCTCCGTCAAACGTCTGTTTTTTTTTTGGTTTGTTGTTTCATTTTATTGTATTTTACTGTTCTCTCTTCTGACCAACGCAAGAACGCACTTAAAGTGATTCGACGAAGAAGGCCCCACTCACAGGGACACAATAAGGGGAAGCGTGTGAGTGTGTGGTGTGTGCAAACGATACACGACGGCAATGAAGTCTTCTCTGACCTTTACGGTGCAGCACGCGGTTGTTCCAGTGCTTGGATGCAGCTTGCTCTTCCCCGTCCGCCGCGTCTACTGCGTTGGGCAGAACTACGCGGACCACGCCAAAGAAATGGGCGGCGTGACGTCCAAGACCAATCCTTTCTTCTTCAGCAAGCCTCCGGACGCCGTGGTCAGCTGCGCCACAAACCACGCGGCGGCGATGGAGGTCGACGTCCGGTATCCACCTTTGACCAGTAACTACCAGCATGAGGTGGAGCTGGTGGTCGCCATCGGCGAAAAGCCCAGTGGCGGGGCGAGGTACGGTGCCATCTCGCCGAGGGAGGCGCACGACATCATCTACGGCTACGCAGTTGGTCTCGACCTGACACGGCGGGACCTGCAGTTGGCAGCGAAGGAGAATGGAAAGCCGTGGGACTTGGCGAAGGGCGCTGACGAGAGCGCCCCAATCTCGGCCATTGTGCCCGTGGAGCTCCTTCGAAAGCAGGACGCCGCCCTGTTTTACGCGACGGAGGAGAACCGCCGGCAGGCGATGGAAGCCAAAGTCCAGAAGGAGCCTACTGTGCTTTCTCGGGGCAGCATCGAGCTGCGGGTGAACGGGGAGTGTCGGCAAAAGGGCGACCTCTCATCGTTTGTCACCCCCATCGACGAGCTGCTCTCTATCTTGTCGCACGCCGTGGAGCTGGCACCCGGCGACCTCGTCTTCACGGGAACCCCGTCGGGCGTTTCTGCCGTGAAACCCGGTGACGAGATCCGGGCAGCAATTGAAGGCGTTGGCGAGCTTACGGCGCGGCTGCACTAATTCATTTGTATACATATATATATAAATATATATATAAATGGGTTCTCTTTCTTTCTTATTACAAGCGATGAGGGACAAAATCTGTAGCGTACTTCTGCTTTCACTTGAGTTTTCAACCCCCGCTCTTTTTCTGTTCCCCCCTTTGGAGTTGGCGTGGATGCAAATAATAACTTTTTCCCGTTGTTGTTCTGGGCCTCCGTGCGTGCGGCGGGATGAGTGCCCAACCCCGCCGCTCCCTCGTGCCTCCATGCATGCTCTACGCCTCACTTCTTCTCTTTACTTTATCTCTCTCTCTATCGCTTTCTACCGTCGTTTTCCCCCACCATCCACTGGGCTGGTGGAAACAGGAGTGAGAGTTCAAGAGGGGGGCGACGAGGTGGTGCCAGTGCGTCGTCGCACACCTCACCCGCCCGAAGGAAAGAAGCACATATACACACAACCAAAAGGAAGATCATCCACTCAAGCCGGTTGCTATTTGTAATACGCAAGGGGAGGCAAAAAGGAGTTTGCTTCAATTAGCTATTCATCTCTCTTGTTGGTGTGGAGTGCGGGTGCGACTCTTGCTCCCGTTGCCCCGTTCTTCTTTTTCTTTAGTCTCTGGTTTGTTGCTGTTGTTGTTGTTGTTGTTGTGTGGCGAGTAAATTGTTTCTTTTGTTCCACTTCTTTTTTCTTTTTCTCTTTTCCCTTTCGGTGTTGTGTGTCTGCACCTCGTTCTCGCGAGGGGCTTTTTGATAGCCCCGCCTTTTTTTTTTCTGTTGTTGTTGTTGTTGTTATATCTTCAGCCTTAACACCTCTTTTGGCGGTTGTCGCCACGGCACCAAATGAGTCTACTCTCCCTGGCCCGGACGGAGAACTCCAAGCAGCAGCTGCGGGCGGTGCACTCCCAGCGAAAGGACCCCGACAAGGCCCTAGAGCCGCTCGAAAAAATGTGCATGACGCTTGTGCTGGGGGTTGAGCAGTATCTTCGCGGCTTTGACGCCACCATGGCGATTCCGCTGCTGCTGCACATGACGGAAAGGGAGTCGTTTTCCTTCCATGGGGACGCCTTGACGATGCTCTTTCGCGCGCTTGCCCTCATCATGGAGTACGTTCCGAGCTCCTACGGGAGTGTGCAGTCGTACCACAAGCGGCTGATGAAGTCGGTGTGCCAGGCCCTCTCCCGGACCCTCTCGGCGAGGATGAAGTACAGCAACACCGATAACGTGATGCTACTGGAGGAGTCCCTGCGACTCATTCACTTCGTCACAAAGGATGAGGGCAGCATCTCCGTCCTGCGCTTTGGGATGGCGGACGTTGTCCGGATAGCCGCCTCGGAAAATACGCTCCTGGCGCGTCAGGCCTTTGATGTGCTCGTCACCGTCTGCTCCAAGATCAGCTTGCCCCCAGATGTGGAAAGGCCAGTGTTCTTTAGACTACAGGTTTTCTTCATCGGCACGGGCTTGAAAGGGAAAACGTACAGCAAGTGCGGCCTGGACTCATCGGAGTCAAAAGAAAGTCTGCAGGTGAATACCGTAGAGAATGTCCTTGTCCCTTTTCTGCATGCAACGCTTCAGCATTATGCAGCGAGTCTTGAGAGCTTTCCAGAGGCGTGGTCTTTTTTGGAGCAAACGATACAGTGCCTGGGCATGCTGATGCGCCGATCGATGTTGTGCCATCGCCCCTCCACAACCCGGAAAATCGCCACTCGTGAGATGTGCCGCACACTCTTCCAACTACTGCTTTACAACGACACAAATGTGGCGCTCGAGCAGGCTGTTCGCGCTGATCGACTGTTGTTGTGCGAAACTGTGCTGGGCGCTGCCATTGCGGCGGATCCGCTCGTGGCAGTTGAGTCCCTGCTCTATGAAGAGGCCGTGGCCTACTACAAACTTCTGCTAGAGGAGCAGGAGAGCGGCCTCATCACGCAGCTGGATGACCCCTTTCCGGTGGGCGGCATCTCGTCCCGGAACACGCAGCGGCGGGACAAGAACAACATTGTCTCCATCGCCGCCATTCGCCTCTTCGTCCTCGCCTGTCCGCATGTCTTACGCGAGGCCTTTGGCCCCAAGCCGAAGGTCCTGCTCCCCGTTCACCAGTGGTACTGGGAGGACGAGATGCGGCACAGCAATGCCATCGCGGAGGAGGGCTGTGTGACGCTGGAAACAGGTTATAACCGGTTATGTAAGGAGGCGTCCTTTGTACTGCACCTGAAGGCAATGACGGCGAATTTTCAGACGATGAAGTTGACGGGTGGCTTTGGAAGCTCCGACCGGAATGTTTTACGCAAAATAGTTCCGTTTGTGTTTCACTTTGTGGACGAGGAGGATATTCGTCTAGTCAAGGCGGCAAAGGAAGCCCTCGTGGCCTGTGACCCTCTGCCCAACTCTATGCGGGAGATGAGGGCCTTCCATGCCGTGGAGTCCGTGGCGGCCGCAAAAGGGTTGGGGACACTTTTCTTACTGAACAAAAGTGCCATTGCACCGTCCATATACATGCGACTTGCGGAGGTTTATCTAGGGAGTCTATGCAGCTTCGTGGTTTCAGTCACTGGGCAGATGGCGATGCAGTTAGGAACCTCGGCGTGTGCGTCGTTGCTCCAGGCCGCCATTTGCACCGGCGAAGACCAGCGACTGGAGGGTCTGTTGTGTAAAATCATTCGTCCCTTGTGTGAGATGCTGCGTGAGGCGTTGGTGTCGGCGGACAAGGCCACCAAGTCCGTTTCCCTCACAATGATGGTGTGGCTGCTGTGTCACCCGCGGGCATCGGCGTGGAAGTTTAGCGAGACGGCCCTGCGCTGTGGCGTGGTAAATCAACTGGAAGTCATGTCGTCGTCGTCGTCGGCGGCGGCGGCGGCTGTTGTGGGAGGCGCCAAGAGGGCAAAGATGCCCAGGGCCTTCGCCAAGAAGGGGAAGGTGGCGTCACTAACACGCACCGCGTACCTGGCAGACGCCGCGTTGGCGCTTTACCGGGCGATCGACAAGCAGCTGTCAAGGCCACCATCACCGCAAGCAGGGGGCGGCCTCACCACGGCGGATGTGATGATGCTGCAAACGGCAGTGAACGAGCTGAAGGCCTACGCGCTCGTCCCGGGGCCGCACCAAAGCGTGGTGGAACATGTATTGGAGGCCTTGGAAAAGTCAGTGAGCACAGTGACTGCGTATGAGGTGTCCACGTTGGGCATCGCCGACGCCGTGCTCAACTACCTGCTCGCGGAGAACTACAAGGATTACCGCGGCGCCGCTGCCACCGAACCAGCGGCTGCAGCCCCGCCAACGGCAAGGAGGGAATTGTTTGGTGGTGCTGCTGAGCTGGAGGCTGTAGAAGAAGAGGAGCTCCTGTCGTTTGGTGGCAAGCGCACCGCCAATGGTCTTCACCGGCGGTGCCAAAAGGAGCGTCTGCAGTGCTTTCTGGAATGTGCGATGCGGCGGCCACGTGGGGTGAAGGCTTTGATTGAGAACCTGGTCTCCACCATCCCCCTCCGCTTCACATTACCGCTGGTTGAGTCTCTCCTGGGCACCTCTAGGGCGACGTGTCGGCCACCTGTCAAGGCTGTAATTGCAGCCAGTCAAATATCACCTATAGTCAGTCTCTGCTGCAAGCCGGGGGCAGGATCCGGTGCACTTCGGCGAAAGAACTCGGATAAAACAAACCCCAGAAGTACGGGCAAGCGAGGGGTGTTAGCCTCCTCCGCGGCGGTGCCGCATTCTGAAGTAAACGTTACCACTGAAGCCGAGGTGGAGGTGTCGCGCCCGCGTGAAAACTGCCCTAGTGGGCATCGGTTGCAAGCCGTGGCAGGAACAAATACCTCGTTTTTATGTGACATATGCGAGGAGGAGCTATACAACGGCCTGGGCTGCCACCGATGCGACTTTCACATATGCAGGGACTGCTACATGGATCCCAAAGTACAGTATGAGGGCGGCACCCTGGGTGCGAGTCCCGGGCCAAGCGGCGGCCTTCACTCGGGGTCTTCACCCCATCGGCAAGGACAGCGCCAACAACGGCTGGAGCGAGAGCGTCAAGAGATTTTAAGACCCATTGATAGAGCCCATTTATTTGCTAGCATCGGTGACATTGAGCGATACTTCCGCACGGGGTCGTGCTCAACGCGAAACACAGATGTGGCACCTGCCCCTCAGTCGGTGTTGCAAAATGTTGATTTCTTTGTGCGACGTGCCAAGTTTTTTCTTGCTCGCAAGTCGATTCACTGCAGCGACGGAGACCTTCGTCAGGCGGTGTGTCGCATTCTAAACTCCTTCTCGTTGCACGGACCTATTATCGACCCTGAAGAAGCTGCAAGCAGCGCGGCAGGGAGTGTACCGTTACGTTCAGATGAGCTAGAGGAGCTGACAAGAGTGCTGCAAGGCGCAATGGAGGAGCGGTATGTGCTCTACACCGCCCCTGGTGGTCGCTGCGCCTACCAAGAGACGCTCATAGGGAATTTTCTCCAGCGTGCCCTTCACGAGGGAAATGTGGGGGTTGTGGAACAGCTGGAGTGCTGCTTGCTCAACATCGAGGGCTGCGGTGACTCCTGCATCGCCGTTGCGAATTCGCACTGGGGCGAACTTCTCCTCCTGAGACGCGGCGCGTCTGCGTTGGCGTCACCTCCGACAGATATGCCGGATAGGGCAAGCAACGCGCGAACGTACACGTTTCATCATTTTGAAACGGACGAGGACACACGCTGCGTCTGTGGGAAGACGTCAAGAAAAGAGCTTAACTCTGCGTATCCGCCCAAACTCATGCGAAAGCCAACACGACTTTCTCGAAACACAGATACCCTCTTGCTTATTCTGCTGCAGAAATTACTAAACCCGCTGATTAAGCAGGGTACTATGGATATTGATGCCGGCGTCTTTGTGAGCGCCCCTTTTACAACACTGGTCGTGAAGGCGTTGACGGCGTCGGCGCTCCGTGTGGCTCTCCTGCCTCCCAGACTCGCGGTTCCCAGGTGGACAGACTTTATAGTCACGGAGGCGAACTTTCTTTTGCCGTTAAACGTCCGTGAACGCGTCGCCCGCTTTTTTGCCTACGGTGCTCGCCGGGCGCTGCACAACTATTTGAAGTCCTTACCCATAAGTCGATCCAATCGCACTATCAATATCTACCCAGCGGAGTGGGGACGGTGGACAAATCATAAATTTCGCGTGAGCCGTGCATCGCTGCTGCATGACGCGTACACGGTGCTCCGCAAAAGTGCGGACTCGAGGCTACCGATATCCATCGAGTTCGAGGGGGACGTTGGGGTTGGGCAGGGTCCCACGGCACACTTCTACACACTAATCGCGGAGGAGGTCAAAAAGGTAAGACTAAATCTTTGGCGCAATGGGACGCCCTCCACTCAAGGCAAAGGCGAAGGTAATGAGGCAGACGCAAATGACAGGGACGCAACGGTGGCTCTTCCGGCGGAAGGGTTGTATCCAGCTGTGCTTGACGCGGGGGAAGAGGATTGCCTCTCCCCTCTCGCTGCGCGGCAATTGCCGCAAGAGGTGAAAGTGCTGACGGATCGTTTCGTCTCTCTTGGCGACTATGCAGATTTTGAACGCGAGCGGGCGCACTGCTATTATCTTGTCGGAGCTGCCCTTGGCCGCGCCTTAACGGACGAAGTGGTGTTTCCGCTGGATTTGAGTCCCGCGCTCGCCATTTTTCTGAGGCGAGAGACTCCGGCCCCACGCATCCTCCTTGCCGGCAACACTGCGGTTGATGAGGGAGTGGCGCGGCCCATTGATCTCATGGGTCTCTCGCTTGCCGACGTGGATCTCATGGATCGCTCCATCGCCGCCAGCGTGCGGTCCCTGCTTGAACTCAACCCCGCCGCCCTGGAGTCGCTCGAGCTGCCCTTTACACTCCCCGGCCACGACAATTTTGAGATGGTGCCTGGAGGTGCAGGGAAGTTTCTGACGAGCGGGAGTATCGCCCAGTACATTCGTCGGGCTTGTAGTGCGTTGTTGTATGAATCCTCTGTGTTGCCCATTCGCTTCCTTCTGCGCGGCTTTCGCGACATTGTTCCGTCCGAGGCGCTCGCCTCGCTCGACGTGCAGGAGGCGATGAGCCTACTCTGCGGGTGTGCGGTGAGTGATGGCAAGCCGCTTTGGACCCTCGCGGAGATCAAATCCATCCTCGTCGCCGACCACGGCTACCAAAACGACTCTCCGCAGATGACAATGCTGCAGAACATCCTGGCAAATCGACTGACGCCGGCGGAGCAGCGCGTTTTCCTCCTCTTCTGCACAGGCTGTCCGCGTCTACCGTTCGGGGGCGTGGGGGCCCTTGGGGCCATCACGGTCGTCAAGCGCTCCGACTTCACGATGTTCCACAGCTCGTACGGTCGCGGCAGCGAGGGCAGCAACGCCGTCGGTGGCGCGGAGGGAATGGAACGAGAAACCACTCAGCAGAGCGAGCACCAGCTCTCACCGGAGGAGACGGATTGGCCGCTCCCATCAGTCAACACATGCTTCCGCTACCTGAAGCTCCCGCCGTACCCTACGGAGGAGCTCATGTACAACAAGTTGCGACTGAGCATCACGCAAGGGGGAGAGACATTTCAGCTTTCCTGACCGCATAGTGCACTGCTTTGAAAAAAGAAAGACGAAACACAATCTTTGCTTTGAATGTTTTTATTTTGTTTTCTGGTTCTTTTCAAAAGGAAGAT